TCCATGTACATTCGTGATAAAGGATTAAAAGTCCAACTCCTGCGTGACGTGGCCGGGAGGGTCCTGCGCTGCCCCGTGCGGTGCCGGGCCAATGCGCTCGACATCGCCCGTTTCCTTTTTCGAAATTTTAGTCTGGTTTTCGCCCACACTCATTTTTGCAATTCATCTCGATCCCGTTAGTTGTGTGTTTTGATGAATGAATGGATGGTTGTCATGCCTGTTTGCGTGTTGTTTTGCCTAATCTTTGTCTTTGCTTGTCATTTTGATACACTCATGAGCATAGTACGAATTTTTGCGTGACCATCAATACTGCTTCCATTGCTGTTTTTGGGCTACTTTTGTTGCTGCACCTTGCATGTTTAGGAACGATTGCGTACGGGATCCCGTAGTGATTAGATGATTGGGTAGTTGTTTGTCCAGAAATAAGCGAATACCTCGCGGGGCATGCGTGTAAGCGCGATCTAATCTGCGCAGCCTACACGAATCTACGCGCGCCGCTTCGTAGCTATTGACGAACTTGACACCTTTGATATCGGGTAGGCGGGAATTTCCCTTCCCCCACGCCCCTAAACGAATAGGAGTTTCCGATATCACATCGGAAAAGTCCCCCTCCCTTAGACGTGTGCGAAAGGATTCCATCATACCGCAATGACAAGATGATGTACTCAGGGGGCTCAGATTCGTCGTGGGATCCGGAGTATTTCGACCCTTGGGTGAGAGAGTGTCTCAGACAGAGATGCCCGGAATTCCCCTGCCTAACCGAGAATCGGTTGTGCCCCAGGGAGTTCCACTGTGCCATGACCAGCGACCCAAGGTGTCCCGATTTTCCCACTTCGGATAACTCGCACTACTTCATATCCCCCGGCTTCGTTGTTATCGCTACCAACTTCCCTCCCTTCCGTCTCCTCCTCCCGTATCACCAACTCGCGGTGGTACCGTGGAATTCCATTGTCGAATACTGGCCCCGCACGCCTTGCGAAAATTGTCGGTGACGCGGTAACCAACAAGCCCCTGAAACTAGAAGGCTTGACCAAAACGCGCGACGACAGACGCCACGTGTCTGCCCCCGAAGGCCCGACTCATCAGAATCCCAGCCATCCGAGGCAGACCTCCGCCCGAACCACCGCCCCCAAAACAAACGGGCCGGACGGCCTTGAATGCACCGCGCATGCCATCTGCCTTATGCTGCATGACATAGAACGACAACCGACCGGGAGTAACTCGCCCTTGGCCCTATTGCACCCGTGCCCCTGAAACCCTGCCACAGGAGATCTCAGTTCTGAACTGGGACTCCACCCCCGCTTTCCCAAAAATCCTTGGCACACCCCTTTTCGCACTTCCAGGCCCTCATCCTACTCCGATCAGGAAGTCGCGCTGGGTGTGAGGTTGGGCGTCACAGCGTTATGGATAGAGAGGTTGAGAGGGTAATTAGTTTGATAAATCTCGGAATTTGGTTTGGTTGTTTTTAATCGTTTATTTTTTGGAGACAATATTAGTACGCCTAGTTTAAATTTAGTACGTACTTGGTTTGAAACTTGGAATTGAATTGTACCTATGAACTTAGTTTGCCTTGGAAATAATTTTAGGGTTAAAATTGTAATTTTTTTGTGAATTGCCTTGTGCATTTTCGAGATTTGCAGATTATAATTCGTAGTACTTTGCCAATAGTGTTTCGATCTTAGAAACATGCAGGCGTTTTCCTGCGCAGCAAGGATATAATATTATAGGCTGAAGGAATGGAGAGTCTTGTCATGATTATTTCAGCCAATTTTTTTGTGCTTCAAGGTTATTTTGAGGAGTTTTTCTTCCTTTGAGGCTGAGTGGTCTTGGGACGCTGTACCCAGTTTCCAGCAGGTTTTTTCTTTGGTAACCCTGGGTAGAATTGTGAGGTCCCCGGCCTCGACCACTACGGTTTTGAAATATAAAGTGACAACTTCTCAAAAAAAAAAAAAAAAAAAAAATGTCGTTTGTATTTCAATCCTACACAACATATTTTTTCCCCGGAAGTTTTTTAGGGTTTTTTTTTTTTTTTTTTCCGGCGTTGGGGCTGCCCGGAACCCTGCCCAGGGGTCATGCCCGGCCGGGCACCCGGGGCTGTACCCGGGCAGAAGTTGGGTGCCTGGGCGCCTGGGAAAGCAGCCTTTTTTTTTTTTTTTTAATCCAGGGTGTTGTAGAGGCCAAGGACCAGACCCGCGGTGATTGCTGGCAGTGGCAGCGAATGGTTGTTCTGACAGGATAGGCCACGCACCCTACCCATCCCCACACTAATACTCCAAGCGCACCCCCTATCCCTACTATCCTACCTCAGTGTGACCAGCACTCATGATCATCACTGCACCAGTATCGAGGGTAACTTGGACCAGACAGCAGTTGTTCTGTTGTTTCTTTAATCGTTGTTGGTTGTGAGCTACTTTTGTCAACGCGGGAGGCAGACTATCTACCCTATTTGATGCCTAAGGGAGCCCTCAACACAAGATTCCTATGAGTTATTTTTGTTAACGCGGGAGGCAGATTATCTACCTTATTTGATGCCTAAGGGAACCCTCAGCACAAGATCCCTACTAAGGCCGTTATCTCAGACAACACTGGCCATAGATCAGCAGGACGTACTACTCCCCCCAACCGTTCCTGTTACTTCAACCTATGGGTGGGCTGTATGTCAGTTTATCGCCTACAGGACCTTGTCTTAGGACTCTCCTACCTAACCCCTCCCGTGCCAGCTGTAGATACTGTCCTGATCCTCACAAGCAACAGGATCTTTTGTAACCTATCCCACGTCATAGCCGTACCTGATTGAATCCGAAGACGCTACCTCAACCGTGCAGCCCCCACATCAAACCCACTGAGCTATTGTGGACACTAGTCTATTTTCTGCGTTCGACCAGAAGACAAGTGAACAATCATCTGAACAACCCACAGACCAAGAACCTCGAGGAAAACCCTCATAGCCTGGACCCAACATACAACAACCATGACTAGCCTAAGGACCCTTGGGTGGTGTGCATTGTGCAAGCAGTGTCTGTAATAGCTTACCTGTGCCAACCTAGGGGGGGTTGCAGATGGTATACGTTATGTAAACGTCCGCAGGTGTCCATGCGCATGGATGCGGAGTTTTGAGCCCCCAACTTCAAACCACAATGCGCATTTCCAACCGGTGCCCTTACCATTGGGCCACACACCATCTGCAATATATAGTTGAGGTGCTAGTGTCCATGCGCATGGATGCGGAGTTTTGAACCCCCAACTTCAAACCACAATGCGCATTGCCAACCGGTGTCAGCTCTTTCTCCTGGAACAACCAGGATGAAAAGAAGAGGTTTCCCTCCAGAGAGATCGAGACCAGGTTGGCACATTTGCCCCAGGTCTGCGAAAACCAATACTGCCCTTTGTGAGGGTGAGCGCCAGAGGTCTGCCAGTTCCCTCTAATAGTTTGTCTAAGTAGAGTTTTGATAAGCGTTATTCGCCTACGGAACAAGGGGCTCTCTGGTTTAAAAGTAGCTTTGTTACGTGTCTTCCACAGGGCTTCCATTATAGCGCCTCGACACGTCAGTGCCACGTATGGCCAGCCTGATGAGAAATCAGAGCCAAAGTGAGATAGACCATAGAGGATCTCACACTAATGACAGAAGCCTCCCACGAAGCGATGGCTGAAGTTCGATACATGATGGACCGCTTCTGTAGACTGGCAGATATGACGGTCAACTGGGCAACAAAACCAAGGGATGGTGGATACACCACCAAGGAGTGAGACCCCCTGAAGAGCCAGTGCAACCGTTTGAACGTCGTGAACGCGCGTTCATACCCCCTGGACCCGCGTTCAATCGCGTTCAAACGCGCTGCGCGCGCGCGCGCGAAAAAATTGAACGCGAGCCCGCAGGGCGTGCGCGCGCGTCGGGGGCTACGGGGTGGTGGCACTCGTTCAACAAACCCCAAAAGTGAAAAAAAAAGCCTCCTCGGAGTACCACCACCCCCGCCACAAGTACAGCGTCACCCCCCACCATTGTGTGTGTGTGAATGTGTGTGTGTGTATATGATCCTTCTTTTTTTTTCAGGGGGGTGGAGGAAACCCCCTAACATGGCTCAGACGGCCTATGCAGGCTGTCTGAGGGGTCCTCGCAGCCATGTGGCTCAGCCCCCCCCACCCAAATCGAGGCAGGCAGCAAGTATGAGGTAGAGGTCGAGCTGGCCGAATTTATGCTCAGGACTGAAGTTCAGATCTGTGTTTCAGCAGTTATGGGTTGCTCACGATGCTAGGCCATGGCGGTCTCTGCACGTGATTCTCAGGGCTACAGCATGTATTCCTAAGAAAAAAAAAAAGGAGAAAAAGAGAAAAACAAGAAAAAAAAAAAANACATTGTCTTTCGTGCATGTGCTGAGTAGAGGCCCTTAGGGCCACTGCACGTATTCCTACGAAAAGAGAAACGATTTTTTTTTTTTTTTTTTTTTCTTGTTTTTTTTTCTCTCGTTTTTCTTGTTTTTCTTAGGAATACGTGCAGTGGCCCTAAGGGCCTGTACTCAGCAGATGCACAAAAGACAAAACATATGGCGGCATATTATTCCATGTTCTACAGAAGATTCATTCTTTTCTTTTGTTTTTCTTTTTTCTTGTTTTTCTCTTTCTCTCCTTTTCTTTTTTCTTAGGAATATGTGCTGTAGCCTTGAGAATCACGTGTAGAGACCACCACGGCCTAGCATCGTGAGCAACCCATAACTGCTGAAACACAGATCTGAACTTCAATCCTAAGCATAAATTCGGCCAGCTCGTGCTCTGCCTTATACTTGTTGCCTGCCTCAATTTGGGGGGGGGGGGTCTGAGCCACATGGCTGCGAGGACCCCTAAGACAGCGTGCATGGGCTGTCTGAGCCACGTTAGGGGGTTTTCCCCACGCCCCCGGAAAAAAAACAAGGATCCTACTTCATACACACACACACACACAAATTCACGCATTCGTTTTTTTTTTTTTTTTTTACCCTTTCGTCTGGGGCACTGGCCCACATACCCCCCAAGCAGCACCGCTGCTCCCCACACTGCCCACAGCCTCCCCAAGCACCACTGCCGCTCCTCCCACTGCCCAAAGGCCTCCCCCACCCCGCACAACCCCCTGCGCAAACGCGTCAAATGCGTTTACCGCCGTTCACTGAACGCGCGTTCACCGCGTTCAAATCCTGAACGCGAAACGCGCGTTTAATGAACGCGCGGTAACACAGAGAAGAACCAAGAATCAAATGGATACCGAAGGAAGCCCCGATCAGGGTATTGGGGGTGGTCATGTCAGCAGAGGGGAGGCCGGTTACTAATAATGAATGGATCTCTGGCCCGGCCCAAGAAAAGATGGCACTATGGAAGAACAAACATACCTCGCTGATAGGGTGTTCTCTAATCATAAATAATGTGATCCTCGCCTCCTTGTGGTACAAATCAGCTATCTGGCCCTTGGACAAGAATGCTTTATGCCCCTTGCAGCGACAGATAGTCGCCTTCCTGTGGAGGGGGAACCACGAGGAGCCAAACGTGATCAGCAAAGTGACTTGGCAATCTATTATTCAACCCAAAATAAATGGGGGTTTGGGCATAATCGATCCTGCGCTGCAAACAAAGGCATTGGCCCTACAGTGGCTCAAACGTTTGCTCTTTAGCCAAGACACCCCGTGGAAGGGGCTAGCACTAGAACAAATCTCCCACTTAGCACCACAAGCAGTGGAGGGGAGTGACCCGTTGATGTGGCTTGAAAATAGGGGGTGGCCCATTCCGAGGAGAAGCGCGCAACATCACCACCGCCAACCCCCCTCGCCCCTTCTAGATATGCTGTCAGGGCTGACCTGCGTAATGACCCGTTCTGGCCAGACCTCCTGAGAACATGGAGAAGCCTCCCCCTGCCGGACAAAACCCCACCTGAGAGATGGGAGGAGGTGGCACGGCAACAGCTGTTTGGAAATAGATGGATAACAGACCGAAAGAGCAAACTCTCCATTGTATGGATTCCTCGTGGCAGGGCTAGGTTAGGCGGGGCATGACAAGAATATATGACATTTGGGACAAGGAGCAAAGTAATTGGATCGCCCCGGACAAGCTAAGAGCGAGACTACGCACGCAACTGCCATCGACCGGAAGAGGCCTTTGACACTATAATTGAGAAGATCCCTCTAGACTGGTGGAGAATCCTAAGAAAAGGTCCTGCCCTTCACAAATCAGACTGGGTGGCATTGAGGGACCATCCAAGCCAGGTGGGCAACATAGTGAACTGTGAACCTGATGAATCGATAAGATTAGCCCTCTTCCAAATAGGCTGGAACAACATTCTTCAAAGAACCACGCCAGAAGAAACAATCATATGCCGAAAAGAAGACCTGTACAGAATCAGAGTACTCCATGAAAAGGAGCAAAAGATCGTGTATTGTCCCCAAACCCCGATCCACCTGCTTGCCCTAGACCCCGCTGAATGGGCATGGATAACATCGGTGGGGAAGGGCAGGAAACTCACAAGATCGCTATACGGCCTCACAGTTAAGTCAACCTATCGACTCCTAAGGCCGAGAATAAACCTTCGGGATCGGGTGGAGTCACGTTGGACGAACCACTTAAACATTGATAAGAGCAAGCTGAGAAATATAAAGTGGTTCAGAACGATCAAGGATAAACCAACGAAAATTGCTTCGTTGCAATGGCAGATCGAGCACCGCTGCCTGCAGACAAACGATTGGCTAATAGATAGAACCAACCTTGAACAAAGAGGTCAGACCCTCCCCTGGTGTAGGCTTTGCACCGATGCATTCCCATTCAGAAAAGTACCAGAAACAATAGAACATATTTTTCTGCAATGCCCGAGAGCGGTGTGGTTGTGGAGATGGTGGAACAGAATATGGAACCAACTAGAGACCTGCACCCGGTGGCCGTGGGACTAGAAAGCCTTATTATGTGACGGTTAGACGACTTTTCTAACAATTTATTCAAAATGGGTCGAAGGGCGGTGCTCTGGACCCTCTAGCAACGGCGTTGCACATATGAAATGGAAAAAGCAAGGTTGGATGGCCCCGAATTCACGGAAAGCATCCGACAACAGATCCAAACTGCAATAAGAGAACAATGGGAAAAAGTCAGGAAACAACCAGTTACTTCATACAACAAAAAATATCCAACAAAAAATCAAGGATTTCTGCCAGAGCTGGCTCGGAGGTGAGAACGGGGGAAAGATAGGGGAAGTAGAATGGAAAGGCGGTCAATGTGATCCAGGGGAAGGTCAAGGGAGGAGGAACCTAGTGAGGGATTACCGGCTCCTCTTCGACGACTGGACCAGGATCGATCCAGCAATCCCCTTGAGACCCAGTGAAGAGTTCCCCGACCCCTTTCCCCCCCCCTTCAATTGTTTGGTAGGTTTGGATTGGTATGGGAGAGAATGAGCAGGCCTTCACTTCAGTCGGCTATGCTGGCAGGCTTCTGCTACATAGTGTTCTGCTGAGACGGGAGACCTAGTGAAGAGTTCCCCGACCCCTTCCCCCCCCCCCCCAATTGTTTGGGGGGACTGGATTGGTATGGGGGAGAGTGAGCAGGCCTGGATTGGTATGGGAGAGTGGGAGCTTGGGCGAGGAGGAAGGAGCAGGCCTTCACTTCAGTCAGCTGCCTGATGCTCATTTCAGCTTGTCACTATGTAAGAAGCTACGCTGGTGGTCTGTTTTTGAAAAAATTCCCCCTCCCCCTCCCCCCCCCCCCCCTCAATGGGTGGGTAGGTCTGGATTGGTATGGGAGAGAGTGAGAGGGCGGGCGAGGAGGAACGAGCGGGCCTTCACTTCAGTCGGCTATGCGGGCAGGCTTCTTCTACATAGTGTTCTTCTAGGATGTTCCTGTCCTATTCTGCTGGGAGTGGGATAAAAGAGGGAAGAGGTGCTTGTGTTTGGATCTCGTACCAACCTTATTGGGTTTCATGGATGAGTTTACTGCAAACCATGGTTAACGCAGACCCAGTCACCGGACAGATCCACACTGTGCGGCCAACCTGCGTCCGGAAGCATCCGGACGATCTGGATAACCAGCGAGAATCTGGACATGCGGATATTCAGACCCGGGCTGTCCAGATAGAGGCCAGGGTATCTTTCTTTCTTCTTTTTTTTCTTTTTTTTGGGTTTGGGAAGTCACTAACAATTTTATTACAAATCATAGGAAAGAGGAAGGAGACCTCACAATTCGACCCGGAAGTACGGGGCACATTACCCACTTTAGGCTGAACTGTTAGCTACTGGAAACCGGGTCCAGTGTCCCTTTCCTACATACTACTTTCCCTTTTATTTTTTTTATTTTTTTTAATGGAAAGAACGCTTCAATCTATTCGTGGGGAGCAGCACGTGCTGGGAACCGGGCCCAGCGTCCCAAATGGAAAATTACATTGAATTTTAAAAATTTGAGATACCGGGGCCATTACTCGGCTTTGGCTAAGAAAAAATTTGAGCTACTTAGGAGGAGACGAGAAACTTTAGAATTGGACAAGATTCAGAAACCGACTCAGGAGCCCCCCATCAATCCTCTTCACCTCTCTCCGGCAAGACTTACTGCAATAGAGCCACCATCTCCGTTGCTGTTGTACCCTATTTTCATCCTACCAGCTAGCCCCCGTACTAGTAGGATGCTTGATATCCCACCATCTACTTCTCCCACTCACCTAAAATACGCAAACCCCCAATCCATCCCCTGTACCCTACTCCGGCAAGACTTATTGCAGCAGAGCCACCATCTCCGCTGCTCCTGTACCCTATTCATGTCCTGTTAGCTAGCCCTCTTGCTAATAGGATGCGTAATATCCCACCTTTTCCTTCTCCCACTCGCCTCCGTCTCTTTAGAAAACGTCTGAGCAATACGGAAAACATAGAAATAGACCTCCTAGGTCCTACAAATGCTCAAAACCCCTTGAAATCCCTAACAAACCCTTCCAAAGCACTCCAACATTGTCCTACTCCCCACCGAGCTCTTCCAGGTCTCACACCCCCACATCTTGTTGGGTTACAGGGCAACACAACTCACCCCAGCTCCGACCAGTGTTGTCCCAGCAGCAACCCTTAGTTATCCCGTGGAATGCCCACCCCAAAGCATCCCCAAATCTATCTACCAGGCCTCACGCTCCTGCGTCAGCAGATCACAGGGCAACACCCCAGCACCGGCCAGCGTCGTTCTGACATCGAACATCCATAGGTCACTGAGTGTAACAGCATCGAAACCACCTAAGAAGAATTGCTAGGACCCAGGGTCCAAAAACATTTTTAAGACCACCAATCAACCATCCGCGTATGGTCAACCCTGAGATCTATTTTTTTATAGATTTTTTTTTTTTTTTTTTGAAATGAATACATTCAGTCCTCCTCCTATTTCCTTTCACCCCCTACTCTTCTTCATCTCCCGACGAGCCGACCTCCTCCACCACGTAGTTCGGGAAAGAAGAATAATAGACCAACGACTTCACAAAAAACCCATAGCGATGAAAAACAAATTTCAATTATTCCTCTTCCTACGACAAGCCGACCTCCTCCACCACATAGTTCGAAGGAGGAGGAAAAAGTAGTTCACTCCATCGCAAAACAGGCGCAACACCCTAACCTCCCATCCCCTTACCGCCTTCCGGCACAGACTTACAACAGCTAAGCCACCATCTCAACTCCAGTTGTGCCCTAATCCAATCCCGCCAGCTAGCCCTCCTCACCAGCAGGACCCAAAAAAACTTCCCCCCTCCACTTCAGTCCCACGCCTGTTCCATAGGCAAGTAAAGGACACCTGATCCCCACCCACACTCTTTCTAACCCCCTTATTGAACTGCATCCCGCGACAAGCCGGCCTCCTCCACCCATGGTTCATGGGACAAAGAAAAAGTGAAAGCGGACCACCCTCAACTTCCTCTTGCGACAAGCCGACCTCCTCCACCACATAGTTCGCAGAAGAAAACCGAAAGTGATTCACCATCTGAAACTTGCCAGCCCTACCCAAACCTCCAAAACTGATCAGAACCTTCACCTGCCTGCCCCAAACCAAAGCTAACTCATCAGGGGAGGGCAATCCGAATTTAAAAAGCAAGTTGAGTCATGAAAATC